TCCTCCTCCCCCTCCGCCTCCGCCTCCTGCTTCTTCCTCCTCCCCATCCTCGTCCTCCTCCTCCTCCTCCTCCTCCGCAGGCGGGGCCCCGGGGGTCCCCGAGTCCGAAGGGACCCCCGGGGCACTCGGCGAGCGCTCCCTGCGGACCGGCGCCCGCGCCGGCCGCGGGGGGCCCTGGGAGGGCCCCCCGTCCCCCGGCCCCCTCAGCCGGTCGGTGGCGGGGGCGGCGGCGAGGCAGCGGCGGCGGGGGCGGCGGCGGGGGCGGCGGCCCGGGCTGTCTCCGGGGGGGACCGGCAGGGGCGCCCGCGCCGCGCGCCCCCGCTCGCCCGGCGCGTCGGGCGCCCGCGCGCCCTGCCGCCGGGCGGGGGCGCCAGGCAGCCAGAGCGCCGCCGCCGCTCCCTGCGGCCGGGGCCGTCGCGGCGCCAGCTCAGGCCCAGCCGCAGCCCGGGCGCCCGGTCGCAGGGGGTGCGACGACAGGGGTCTGAATCCCCCCCCCCCTGGCCGTGGCGGCACCCGGGCCGCTCCTCCTCTTCTGCGCACCTCGCCCCGGGCCAGCCGCTGCCTCGGCCTCCTCCTCTACCTCCTCCTTCCTCCTCCTCGTCTTCCCTCAGCGCTCTTCGCCCTGGGCTGGCCGCTGCCTCCGCCGCCTCCTCGTCCTCCTCCTCCTCCTCCGCTGCGCTCCTCGCCCCGGGTCGGCAGCTGGCCCGGTCCCGCCTCCTCCTCCTCAGCGCTCCTCGCACTGGGCCGGCAGCTGCCTCAGTCTCCCCCGCCTCCTCCTCCTCCTCCTCCTCCTCCTCCTCCTCCTCCTCCTCCTCCAGCCGCTCGCCCGGGTCTGGCCTCGCGCCAAGGCCGGTGCTGGGTGGCCGCCAACACGGCATCGGCCGCGTGGCGCTGTAGCACGCTGCCTAGGGCCTGGTGCACGCGGCGGATCGCTGCCGAGCGCTCCGTCGCGTGCGCCGGGGCCAGCCGGCGAAGCAGCGCCGCTGCGTCCTCTCCCAGGCGGCCGTGGTCCTCGATGACGAACGGGACCACTGGCGCGCCTGGATAGCGCGCCCGCTTGCGGCGCTCCGCGGCCGCCGCAGCCGCGCCCTCGCGGCGCGGCGCGCCGAGGCCGAGGGCGTCCTGGGTCAGGGCGCTGACCACTGTGAGGTCGACCAGGATCGGCGCCGCTCCCCCTGGCGCGTGGACGACCAAGTCCATGCGGGCTTCTGGATTCGCGGGCGCCGCGTGGGGCACCAGCGCTTCTCTGTGCACGGTGCACCCCTGCTCCTCGCACCATTCGGCCAGGGCCGCGCACCCCGCGTCGTGCCGGCGCACGCGCCAGCCGCCGACGGCGCATCCCCGGGCGTGGACACCTTTCGGATCCAAGGCCTCCCCGCACACTCTGCCGTCTGGGTGGCGGTGCTGGCAGAAGCCTGCGCAGAGAGGCAAGTCCAGGTGCAGCCTCGTCCGGACGGCGATTCCAAACTGCGCGTCTGTCAAGCGGTGGCACGGCCTCGTGGGCGGCTGCAGCCAGCCGCTGGCGCCGGCACCCCCGGCGCTGAGCAGAGCCGCCGCAGCGGGCGGGTCGGCCGCCGCTTCGTGCGCGACGCGGCGGGCAGCCGCAGCTAGTGGGGCCGAAGCCAGTGTGTGCTGCGTGGCTGCCAGCCCTTCGTCGCCGACGTGGGCGGTCTGGTCGTCTAGGGCCGCCTGGAGGACCCGCGTTGCGGCGGGGAGGCAGGCGCTCGCCCAAGGGCTGGCCCCGGCGAGAGCGCTGGCCCCTGGGAGCTCCAGCCTGCGGAGGCAGTGGGGCAGGCAGAGGTGCCAGGAGGCCGCCTGCGCCGCCGGCGCGGTGAGGGCCACGCTCTGGAGCCCCAGTCCGCCTGCTGCCGCCGCCACGAACGCCTTCCTCCGGGTGGCATCGTTGAGCGGCTGCCCGAGGATGTGCTGCACCTCGGACACCAGCGCGACGTCCATGGCAGCCCCCTCCGTCTCTGGGATGCCACAGCTGCGCGCCAGGAACACGTAGTCCGAACCCGTCCGCGTCCGGAGCAGGGCCAGCGCGGTTTGGTTGCTTAGGCCTGCCGCGCGCAGCGTCCGCAGCCGCCCGTAGAGCACCCCGCGGGCGCCGGCGAGGCTCGCGACCTCTGGGCTTCCCTCCGCGAGCATGCTGCCCGCCGCGTGGCCCAGCGCCGGCATTGCGGGGACAGGCGGGAGCGCTCCGTGGCGGAGCACAAGGGCTCGTGGCTCTACTTCCCGCTGGGCCGGGAGCGCGGCCGCCGCCACAAGCCGCCCTGGGCTAACTTTCGTTTTAGCCGGGTTGCCGCGGAGGCCCACAGCCGCACACGCGGCAGCGAAGGCGCTCTCGGCCCGCCCCGCCGCTTCCGGGGCGCAGACTACCTCGAGGTCGTCCTGGTAGCTGTAGCCTCGCGCCGCCGTGCCCTCTACCATTGCCGCCTCCGCGGTTGCACGTGTGACGCGCTTGTAGCTCAGCGGGAACAGCATGTTGGTGAGCGCGTCGCCCTGGTCGCCCCCGCGCTCCTTGGGCAGCCTCGTGCGGGTGCCGTCGCTCGCGACGTACGCGTGCTCAGTCGCGGTGCCGAGGCCTACCCGCACCCATGGCAGCAAGTCCGGCACGAGCTGCTGGACCTCCTGCGCGGCCACGGCCCTGTCGTACTCGTTGTGGGCATTGCTGACATCCAGGCTCAGCTTGCAGCAGGCCGGGCGGCTGTCGAGGTCAAGCAACACCGCCTTGTGCATGATCTCCGCGCCTCTCGTGCTGCCCACAGAATACTCAGCCTCCCCGAGGGCCCCGGCGACCCGACCCCGAAAGATGCGGGCCACTGCCTTGGACGCCAGGCGGCGGTGGAGGATCCCTAGGGCGAAGGGCCGGACCTTGTCGTCCTCCGGCCGGTCCCCCGCCAGGATTCGGGCACTGTGCCACGCCCTCAAAGCCTCGGCCGGGGCGGTGCCGAGCTGGAGCCGCAAGACGACCTTCGTGAATTCCTCCCACTGGGCCCCGTGCTGCGGCATCCATGCCCAGTGCTCCCCGCGCGAGCCTCCTGGGCCGGCGCCGCGGTTGCGCGGTGCGCGGGTGTACGCCTTACCCAGCTCAGCGACAAAGTGGTCGACGTCGTCACTGATAGGCTGCGTCTGCGGGATGTGCGGTTGCGAGGCCGCGCGGGGGAAGAGGCGGGGGAGGCAGTCTCGCGCCTTCCTGTCCGGGGCCAGCTGGATCTTGCCGTCCACCACCCTCATCGCCTCGCGGACGTCCTCTTCGGCGAGTGCCTCCTCGATCGCCTGGACATCCCTGGCCAGCTGTTGCGCCTCGGAGCGTGCTTGGAGCTCCCCGCGCGGCTGCCCAGCGGCCGTCTCCTGCCACAGGAGGTCCCAGTAGCCCTCCCAGGCCAAGCGCACCCGCCGGACGAGCGTCCGCGCCAGCGTCTCTCCCCTCTGCCCGCGCGCACCGCCGCGCCGCTTCCGCACTGAGGCAAAGAGCAACCGGTCGGAAAGCAGTAAGGCTTTCAAGGCCCTCTCCTCCTGCGCGGCGCCGCCCGCCGCCTGTGCCGCCACACACAGCGCAGCCCGCAGTTCAGCCACCGCGTGACGGACTGCTCCTGGGACCACCTTGACCGTGCCCACGGGGTCGTGGATGCTGTCCCACGGGACGGTGTCCCAGAACTCCATGCGGCGCAACACTCCCGGCTCCACTGCGGCCTCCAGCGGCTGCCTCGGCGGCCGACGGGGCCCAGCTCCTTGCCCAGCGGCTTCGGCCACGACCTCTCCTGCTCGTCGTCCTCCTCGTCCTCGTCCTCCTCCTCCTCCTCCTCCTCCTCCTCCTCTTTCTTCTCCTCCTCCTCTGTCCTGCGCGTCCTGCGCTCCGTCAGCACGAGCTGCGTCAAAGGCGAGCTGCGCCTCGGCCCGCTTCTCGTCAGTCAGCCTGCTCCAGCCCTCCAAGCGCTCCAGGGGCCCGCACCGCTGCGCCATGCACCCGACGTGGTGCACCCGAGCGCCCGGTCCTCCCCTCCTGAGCCTGGGCGTCCGCGCCGGTACCTCGCCGCCTCCCCCTCCTCCTCCTCCTCCTCCTCCTCCTCCTCCTCCTCCTCCTCCTCCTCTCCTCCTTCCTCCTCCTGCTCCTCCTCCTCCTCTCCCCTCCTCTCCTCCTCCTCCTCCTCCTCCTCCTCCTCCTCCTCCTCCTCCTCCTCCTCCTCCTCCTCCTCCCCCTCCCCCTCCACCACCACCGCACCGCCGCTGAGCGCCGCGCCCAGGCGGGGCGAGCGCACGCGCGAGAGGCGCGGGCGTTGCTCAGGGCCTGCGGATGCCTGGCCCACCGCGGGCGCGGCCCACCCAGCAGGCGCTGCGGGCCAGGCGGACGGCAGTTGCGCAGGCCAGCGACCGACCTTGCGAGAGGAAAGGCCCTGCGCCCCGCCTTGCTGACGAGGCGGCCGCGCGGAGGGGGACGACGTGGCTCACGCCGACCCCGAGTGCGACGCGGATGCCTCCGCCGAGGCGGCCTCGCCATCGGCGACGGCCGGCCGCGGCCGCCAAGGAGTTCGTGCACGGGGTCACGGGCGACGTCGTAGCGTTAGGAACAACGCCAGCATTGCCGCGCGCCACTCCTCTGTTCACACCAGGGGCAGGCGATATATTTGAAGATGTCGAGCTTGGTTTCAGCGCCGTAGCTCAGGCTTCCATGTCTGACTCCTCGTCCCCTTTGACGTTGCGCAGACATGGATCGGAGATCGTTGCGTTATTCGTGACATGCAAAACAATGATCGCCGACTTAGGCGAAGAAGCAAACACATTAAGCAGGTGGGGGGCGCTGCGGGCAAAGACAGGCAATCAGATGGGCAGCAGAGAGGTCAAAAACGGCGCAGAGTAAGCGCCCGCCACCACCATTGGAGGAGGTACCTGAGGAGCACAATAATGACGATGACATAGGTCAGGATCTAAAGAGGATGCTGAGTAGGGAGAGGTCGATATACGCGTGCAGAACCATCAGGCGACTCGTGGCTGGCTGCCGTGCTTGGAGTTACCTTGGTATCCCATCCTCCACCCCCATATGATAAATACTCTAAAGTCCCCCTTGGTTTATCCGGGCAAGCCGCGTCAAGGTGACATTTGCGTGCAGCACTCGGAGTAGGTGCAAAAGAGAGAGAGATAGAGCGTACAGCGAATGGCACAGTGTGATTGAGCTGGCACAGACTGTGCTGGCTGGCCCCCTGGCGGGTACAACCTAACAATTCTTGGGCTGCTACCCGTGTCTTTTCGGCTCTTCGGGGAGAGGCCCTTTCACCGTTCCAGTTCATAGGGCGAGGGGGGCGTCACGGTGGCCACCCTTGCGGCTCTTGCTCCCCCCTTAAAGTAGACCATGCAATTGCACATGTTCTTTTGAGGCTAGCGCGCTGTAGGCTGGCCTGTGATGTTGAAATAAGAGTGTGCAGCGACGCGTCTGCGAATGCAAAGGCTGAACTGTCCCGTAGAGCGGCAGACGTGAAGGCAATTTCTAGGTGAGTCAAACATTCTGGGGTGAAGGGTGGGAGGTCAGAGTACGGTGGCCCACAGTAGGGCAGGAGCCCCTCCGCCGAAGGCCAACACGGCCAGGTATATCCCACGTTCACCAAAACCTCCCCACCCCACCTCAATACGATGATCCAACCCCGAAGCCTCTCCCAGTAATGACACCAGTGATGGCAACTTGAAATTGAGGGGCAGCCGTGTGACAAGTGAATGCGTGCAGGATAGTCAGCTTGGTAATGCTCTGCGGATGTCTGTGTATAGTGGTTGGCTCAGGCGGCACTGGCTGGCCACAGTTGTAATTCACGTATGCTGGCCTGCAATGTGTCAAATAGAAGGCTGGCGCTGACGGTATTGGCTGGTCCATTTGGTTAAACACACGGTGATCGTGAGGCTACAATAGCTTGAGGCCATCTTCCTGGTGCCCAGTGGGGCCAGTAATGCTTGCTGCTCCACCTCAAATCAGAAGATACCCCCTCCACCAATCCACCCCCGCCTCCAACCTGGTAGCCACTCCCCGTAATGTCACCAGTGATGGCAATTTGAAGTTGAGGGGCAGCCGTGCGAGAGTGAATGCGTGCAGAAAAATAGCTTAATCACACCCTGCGGATGCCATGTATAGTGGTTGGCTTAGGCGGCACTGGCTGGCCACATTTGTATTGCAACGCATGCTGGCCTGCAATGTGTCAAATAGAAGGCTGGCGCTGACGGTACTGGCTGGTCCAGTTGGTTAAATATTCAGTTGTTGTGAGGCTTAAGAACCAGAAGATAGGCGAAGCATGGGCCAATTGTGTGCACCGAAGCATCGGCTAATGTGAATAGGATGAATTGGCCTGTAGAGCGGCCGATGTGAGGGCAATCTCTAGGTGAGATAAATGCGTTGAGGTGAAAGGTGATAGGTCAGAGTGCGGCGGCCCACAGTAGGGCAGAAGCCCCTCCTCCAACGGCCAAAATGGCCAGACACATCCCAAATTCACCACAACCCACAACCTCCCCATCCCCAATCAAGTCCCTCCCCCATCGCCAGATTGTAATCTTGAGTAGGCAAGCTGAGGCGAGAGAGTAGCTTTAAATAGGCTGGAGTACTGGCAAATATCTTCTCCTCCTCCTCCTCCTCCTTCGCCTCCTCCTCCTCCTCCTCCTCCTTCTCCTCCCCTGTGTCCTGTGAATTTGCATTTGCCACTTGTAGGACACAACACCTGGCGGAGCGGCTGCTAGCAGACCACATGAGGATTTTTTGTGAACGCAGGAGCCTGGAAGGGAAATGACGGACGACGGACAACGACAGCGACGACAGCGACGACGACGACGACGGACGACCGCCGAACGACCGATCGCACGACCGATCGAAAGACCGACGAACGGCCGACTGCGGCGGCGACGACGGACGACCGACGGACGATCGACGGCCTCCGCGCGCCGCCCGCGAGGCGCCGCCGCCCGGCGCAGACGCGCCCGGCCCGGAGGCGGCGGCGCCCGCCGCCGGCGGCGGCGGGGGCTGCCAGTCGGCGAGGGGCCGCGCCTCGGGGAGGTCGCGGCCGACGAGGGGCCGCGCCCTCGGCCGCCCGCGCGCGCGCGCGGCGGGCGGCGCTGGGCGCCCACGGGCGGCGAGCGGCGAGGACGACGGACGACGACGACGACGCCGCCGACGACGACGACGCCGACGACGACGCCGACGACGACGACGCCGACGTGCCCTGGGGCGGCGCGCGGCTTCCTCGCGCCGTGGCAGAGAGCACGGCGGGGGCTCTGGGGCTGCTTTTGCTCGGCCTCGGGGTTCACGGCGGCGCCTGCCGGGCCCCCGGGGGCGCCAAGGAGAGGTCGGCCACGCGCAGAGTAGGGGGAGGGGGAAGGCCTTCTTAAGCACCCCTGGCTCCTTAGCAGGCGGAGGCTTTGTCTACAGACGGAAGGCCCGCGCCTCCTAAGAAGCAGCCTCCTTCCAAGAAGCCTTCCCCCCCCCCTCCCCCCCTGCCCCCTGCCCCCCTTGCGCGCTGCCGCCAAGGAGAGGGCTCACGAGGAAGCGCCGCTGCCCGCGGGGCGTGTGCCCTGCGAGAGAGAGGCGCGGCGTCGGTGGAAGTCTGGGGCGCCCGCCCGTCGGGAGGGGGCCGCGTCGGCGAGGTCGCGGCCGAGGGCGGGGCCGTGCCCCTCGTGGGCTGCGCCCGCGCGCGCGGGCAGGAGGGGGGGCGCGCGGCGGGAGCCGCCTTCTCCTCGTCGTCGTCCTTCCCCTGCGCCCGCTTCTTCTGCTGCTCCTCCTCATCCTCCCCGTCCTCTCCCGCCTTGCCCCTGCTCCTCGCTCCCCCTCCCCCTCCTCATCGCTCATCCTTGCTGCTCGTCGTCGTCCTCCTGCCCCTGCTCCTCCCCTTCCATCCCCGTGATTGCTTGTCCTTCTCCTCCTCCTCGCCCCTTCTCCTGCTTCTCGATGCCCCAGCGTCGATTGGACCCGCAGTGGGTCGGGTTCACAAGGGGTCACACACATGCCCCTCTCCCATCCGAAACTTCTCTGTCTGATTGCTGCCCACGCTCCTTCCTCCTATTGCGAAGGCCTTACGGCCCGTGCCGCTGACCCTGAAGGGGGACGTCGACGACGGCGGCGGCGGTGGCAGCGGCGCGACGACGACGACGCTGACGTGGGCCCGAGTCCTCAGGGATGCTTCTCGGGGTCTCTTGGGCAGGCTCTCGGTCTCTTGGAAGGGTCTCTTGGGAGGAATTTTGGGGTCTCTTGGAAGCCTCTTGGGGGCCTTGTTGAGTGTCATGGGGGCCTCTGGTGGGCTTCTTGGGGCCTCTTAGGAACCTCTGGGGGCCTCCTGGGAGCTTCTAGGGGCCGAGGGTTCGAAATGTCCGTTCGGGCTTCCCGTTAAGGCACACTTTGGGAGCCGTCTTGGGGGCCTATTGGGCCGTCTTGGAGGCGTTTGGGGCTGTCTTGGGTTTCTCTTGAGATGTGTTGGAGCGCTCTTGGAAGCCTCTTGGGCCGTCTTGGGGCGATCTTGAGGGCCTCTTCGGCTGTCTTGGAGCGGCGGGAAGCAGGAAAGGCGAGAACGCTCAAATCTGTCGAACACCCCCGGAAAATCAATGAGTTTTGCCGCTTGGGGCCCACTCGGGAGTGCCTTTGGAGGCCTCTTGGGGTGGAAGAGTCTTAGAGTTCCAGGACCGCGCGGGGACCGTGCGAGGGTTTCGGAATCGCGCGGGGGGGGGGATGGGGGGGGCGTATTTGGGTGGCGACCCCCCCCGGTACCCCTTTGGGACGGACCACCTCCCCCTGCGCGGGGAAGGGATCAAAGGGAAGGGGCTTCCATTCGATTCAATTAGGACACTGCGAGGCTTCTCTCTCGCTGACGGGCCTGAGGAGGGTGCAGGGAAAAGGGGCGACGCAGACGATGACGGAGACGACGACGACTCGAACAGACAAACCCCTCGCACACGCCGACAGGGCCGGCGGACTCCCACACAGCAGAGGACGTCCGTCGGAAGGCCAGCGGGGCGGCCAGCGGGCGGCGACGGAAACAAAACGAGGGCGGTTCCGCCGGCGAGAGGAAAAATTCTTGACGCTTCGGCTGCTACTGCAGCCTTAGAGGGCCACATGCGAACCCTACCCCTACCCCCCAGAAATCGTGGCGGGTAGGGGTAGGGTTCGCATGTGGCCCCCCAAGCCTGGCGCTCGCGCCTAATACTGCAGGGTGTTCCTCCTCGATGCCGTGCCCTCGGTGGCGTGCTCTCTGCCGCACTGCTTCCTTGCCCTTGCTTTTCCCACCTGGACCGCCGCCGCCTCGACACAGAAGGGTGGCCCTTTCCCCTCCCGCTGCCGCGGTTTGCCACCACGGCGAGCTGCCCCCTGGTCCGGGCGCGCCGCTGCTCGGCACAAAGGAGCGCCCCTGAGCCCTCTCTCTTCGACTAGCCCGCCGTGCCACCCTTGGCATCGCCCCGCTGCTCTCCTCCCTCTGCTCCCCGGGCGGGATCCGACACCTCAGTCGTCCTGCCGGTTTTGGCGATCCGGACTCCCGTCCGTCGAGCGCTTGCATGCAAGCTGGCCATTTCACTGATGTCGACGCGCGGCTGACTGTCTTCAGTCTGCTTACGACGTGCCTGTCCCACGGCGCGAACTGCTGTTCGGTCGTCGCCACTCGCTCGTTCCGCCGCCACCCACAGTGGCTGCTGTCGACGCGCAGAAGGCTTGCTCACCTTGTAGGGGTGCGCAGCCCTTGCCGCGCTCAGCCCCCCCGCGTGCTGCCCCTCGGGCAGGCGCAGGCGCTTGCGGTTTCCGCTATATCCCGCGGGTTTGCCCCACGCCGCAGGCACCACGGGACACCACACTGCCAGCGAATTGCCCGCCACTTTGGCGTGCACCCCCCGGCGGTTGCTAGCTGCCGCACACCCTCCGTGAGCGCCGCGCGGCCCGCCCCGGTTAGTCTCTCCTCCCGCTGCTCTCTTGTTGTTGTTGTTGTTGTTGTTGAACATTATTAATTCTAAAGAATAATTATTGTTGGGACCCCTGGTGCACGGCCCCCCTGCGCCGCCTAGGCCGCAGCTACATTTTCATCATTTTCGTGAGGAAGCCTCAGGTAATTCGATGTGATCAAGATCCGGTTGTTTTGTTCCCCCCCGCTTTCCCTTGCAAAAAACACTATAAAATGACATTTCTTGTTCTAATATAATCAAATTTCAAGAATCCCTTGCAAAAAATAAGGTAAAGTGGACATTCGCGCGCGCAAGACGAAATCCTTCCAAAACCTTAGTGTTCGCAGCGATTTTAACATAAAAACATCAAAAAACCAATGGTTTTTCAACAAAAAATTGTCAAAATCTCATCCCGCGCGCTCTTGCGGATTCGTAGGAAAACCAACACTTTTTAAACATTTCTGTCAAACGGGCTTTTGCGAGCAACTTTTTCGAACTTCTGCGACAACGGTTGCGCACCTGCCAGGGCCATCATCCCTGTCAAATAATACCATGCGGGACACATTCGTTTTTTCTTCGCGCGCGCACGCCGAAATCTCCAAAAACCATTGGGCTTCTTAAGAATTTTAGCACCGCGCATCATAAAATCACACGAATCGCACCGTAGGTCCTCGAAAAACACCTGCACGACTTTTCAAAATTTCTACCCGCGCGCGCTGTCCGAATCCTAAAAAACCAATGGTTTTCCAACCTTTATGTTACATGAGCTCGCGCGAGCTACTTTCGCACGCTCTTGCAACGGGGTTCGCGCGCCTGCCAGGGGCCACAATCCCTTGCGGTTGCGCCATAGGTTGCGCCCTCGGCCGCCGAGAATAAAACGTCCCCCTATTGGTTGCGCCATAGGTTGCGCCCTCGGCCGCCGAGAATAAAACGTCCCCCTACTGGTTGCGCCATAGGTTGCCCCAGGAGGCCTTCAAGAGGCCCCAAGAGCCCGCCGTGAGGACCCAATAAGCCCCCAAGAGGCCCCAAGATGCTTCCAAGAAGCCCCCCAAAACCCCTCAAGAGGACCCCAAGCGGCGCCAGGAGGCTTCCCCCCTTCCCCAAGAGGACCCCAAGCGGCCCCAGGAAGCCTCCGACTGATCACTGGCACATCCGTAGCCATCTCGGATCAAGGTATCGCCTGTGTTCTTGGATGGTCCATGGCTTTGACGGCGAAAGCCCTTGACGAGCAGTATGGCCCGGAGCTGTCGCGGCCTCCCTTGGCCGACTGCGAGAGCCCGTATTATTTGCATCAGGCGCTCGTTGCAAAGGGTATCCAGGTCAGTCACCAGGCGTGCAAGACTTGGTGGGGCAAATATCGGGTTGTGCCTGGCAAGGTTAGTATTTCTAGCGCCCAGGAGCTGGAGGAGGCAGCACGGAGCTGTCGCCCCCCCAAACCCATCCGCCACCTGGCATCGAGTAAACAACAATCTGTGGGGGTTACTCCACGGCCAGGTATAAGCCACGGTCGTCCGCATGCCACGAAGTGAAGTGTGTCCGAACGTCATAGGGCGGGAAGCTGGGTGTGGGTGGTGGCGAAGAGTCGTGTGGATATTTGGTAGAGCTTGCACTGCCCCCCCACAAAGTGGGGGTATTGGCTGGCGGCGCATGAAAACCCTGGCACTGGTGAGAACACTGAGCGGTCGGGTAAAGTGATTGTATGAACATTATTACTTTAAAATGAAACTATCTAAAAGAATAAGTTATGTTGGGACCCCTGGGCCACACCGACCCCCTCCAAAACCTAGGCCGCAAGACCATCATTCCTTCATATTCTCTACGAAAAAGCTTCAAAAAGTGGATGGTTAAACCGGATCCGGTTTATTTGATTGACGTCGCGTTTTTTTCCCTTGCAAAAAACATGATAAAAAGAAAATTCTGGTTCGTAGTTGATCAAATTCAAGAAAATCCCTTGCAAAAAATGGTTTAAGTAAAAGTGCACATTCGCGCTCGCAATAGACGAAATCCTTCCAAAACCTTAAATAGGTTTTCGTAGCGATTTTTAAACATAAAAAACATCAAAAACCCAATGGTTTTTTAAGAAAAAAATGTCAAAATGTCCTTCCGCGCGCTCTTGCGGATTCATAGGAAACACACCACTTTTTAAACATTTCTGTCAAAAGGGTCTTTGCGTGCTACTTCTTCAGGTGCTTTGAACTTCTCCCACAACGGTTGCGCGCCTGCGAGGGCCACCATCCCTTGCAAAAAATGAGACGAAGTGCACATGCGCGCGGCCGCCGCGCGCGCATGTCGAAATCCTGCCAAACACAATGGGTTTTCAATACTTTCAAGATGCGATGTTCAGAAAACATATGAAAACGCACTACTTTCTCATCCGAAAAATCTCGAAATCCATTCGCGGTCTCTTGATGAATCTTTAAAACCCAAGCCATAGCGCCATGAGTCTATGAGCAATGCATGCGTCATCCTTGGGACTGTATAACATCAGTGTAACACATGTACTTCTGTAATCGCATCCCCACGAATTTGCCCCAAAAATGTGACCAACTTTCTTGGCACTGCGTACCATCTCACGTGTACCGTGTACCACATCATATGTAACAGATGTGATCAACCTCTGTGGGTGTGTACCCCACGCCAGTGTAGTAGCCAGGGTCGTCCGCACGCCACGAAGTGAAGTGTCCCAACGTCATAGGGCGGAAAGCTGGGTGTGGGTGGTCTCGAAGAGTCGTTTGGATATTTGGTAGAGCTTGAACGGCCCCCCCACGAAGTGGGGGTATTGGCTGGTGTCGCAAGAAAACCCTGGCACTGGGGAGAACACTGAGCGTTCGGGTAAAATGATTGTTGTTGTTGTTGTTGTTGTTGTTGTTGTTGTTTCCTTTCTTCTGTGTGCAATTTAGGCTCCTGCTTGGTAGCTGTAGCTTTGGACGGCGTGCGGCCTTTCCGCTTGCGCTCGCGAACAACAATCCCCACCAGCCCATCCAGAAACGAAACTCCGTATCCTTTATCCGACCCCCACCCCCATCCTCATTCCCTTCGAGACCCCCACCAAATTAACACTCCAGTTGGGGATACACCCCTCGAAGCCCGCTGGGAACGGCCTATATCCCCATCTAAGGAGGTAAATCGGCCAGTCGGACCCAGGCCACGCCGTTGGGGGTGGGGATCGGTTCAACGATGTTCAGATGCCCATGAGAGCTGACGGGGGGTGAGAGGAAGAGGCACGCGCAGTCAAACAGCGAGGGAGGCTTGGGAGGCTCCGTGGCCATCTCGGGCCGTCTTGGAGCGGTCTCGGGGCCGTTCGGAACACCTTGGGGGCCATCTCGAGCCAGCGTGGGCTATCTGAGCCATCTTGGAGGTCATCTTGGGCTCTCTAAGGCCGCTCGGGTGCCTCTTGGAGGCCTCTTGGGGCTTCTCGGGGCGCTCTTTGGGCCCTGTTGGGGCTTTCTTGGGAACCCTGGAGGCCCTCTTGGGGCCATCTTGGAGGCTATCGATCAAAAAAGTGGGTTCCTTCATCTCCGTCCCCCCCTGGGGGGCCACGATCCTCGTGAACGGTGGCAACAAATGGCCCTCCCAGGGGCCGGAAAAAAGAGCTCTAACTCGTCGTGACCCCCTCCCCCAAAAAACCTCAGGGATGGGAGGGGGAGGGTTCCCCTCACTGAGGGCAAGAGAGGTTTTGGAAGAAGAAAGAGACCCTCCTTAGACCACCTGTCGCCCAAAAGGCTGGCGTGACTCTCGCATCATTTTTTGTTTTTCGTTCAGGAATTCTGGAACCCAGAAGGTTGCGCGGCTGCGTTGGAGCGGTGATCATTATGACGTCCCCCCGCCAAGACCCCAGCGCCAGCGCTGATGCCGCCATGGGCCCACAGCCCCACCCGCGCAGCATGGCACAGATGGGAAGGAGGAGGAGGAGGAGGAGGAGGAGGAGGAGGAAGAGGATGGAGGAGGAAGAGGAGGGAGGAGGAGTGGGCGGAGTGGAATGAGGAACAGCTGAAAGGAGGAAGAGGGGGAGGACCGAGGGGGACACCCCCCTCCCTTCGGGACAGCCCCGACCAAGCGCAGCTACAACTGGAGGGGTGGCTGAGCGCTATCCTTGCTAGCACGCAGTTGCCCCGCCTGGTTCCTGGCCACGGGGGGGCGTGAACGTGCTCTCTATGAGGAGGCATCATCGCGGCGCGCCGCTGCGGCGCCCGACCGTCTCAAAACGCCAACGAGCAGAAGCGAGGAGGAGGAAAAGGGGGAGGAGGAGGAGGAACGAGGAGGAACCAGGAAGACGAGGAGGGACAAGGAGGAGCGAGGGGACGCCCAGAGAAATCCAGATGCGCGCGCGCGGCCGATCCTCCCTACCTCCCCGCTCCTCGTTTGCGAACCCACGCTCTCCGCCCTCCGCTGGGGCGGACGGGCTCCTCCGCAGCGGCAGAAAGAGGGGCGCACGGGTCGAAGGAGCGATGATTTGTGATTCCTTTCCCTGCGTGTGGGGGCCTGCGGCCCAGAAGCTCCAAGAGCGGCGCCACGCGCAGCGCCGAGCAGGGTTGCGTCCAAAGAGTGGGCGCCGACAGGATCAAGGGCCATCCGAGACCTCGGAGGGATCTCGGAGGGCACGCGCCCCATCACCCGCGGGGACAGCCCGACCTCGCGCGGGCCTAAGCAGTGATAGGCACCGTATAATATTGTGCGTTACGGGATAGCGGCCAACTCGCGATTGTCGTCGCACTCTCGCCACACTTCGCATGCCGGTTCTTCAAGAACCGCCTCCTCTTGTGCAGCGCCGCTTCGGTTATCTTCCACCCAGGCGTGCCGTCGGCTGGACAGGGGCTCCCGAGACCAGTAGGCTTGCTGGTCGCGTACATGGAACACCTCGTAGAAGAGGAAGGATGATGAGGAGGAGTAGGAGTAGGAGTAGGAGTAGGAGAAAGAGGAGGAGTAGGAGTAGGAGGAGCAGGAGAAGTAGGAGAAGTAGGAGAAGTGGGAGAAGTGGGAGAAGTGGGAGAAGTAGGAGTAGGAGTAGGAGTAGGAGTAGGAGTAGGAGTAGTAGCCGTAGTAGCAGTCGTAGTCGTAGTAGTAGTAGTAGTAGTAGTAGTAGTAGTAGTAGTAGTAGTAGTAGTAGTAGTA